CAAAGCTGCAGATAATCCTGTCTTAAAAACAAACAAACAAACAAAAAAAAAACAACCAACCAGCCAGCCAACCAAACAAACTCACCCATTTCTTCCTCCCAAATGTTGATATTAAAGGTCTGCACCACCACACCCAGTGTAAAACTTTTTAAAAAAGGAAGTTACTCTAATCACATAGGGAATTTTCTTCCTGGGATATATTTATAAGAAATATTAAAGACATGAATGAAAACCGAAGGGGGTTAATCAGTCATTTGAATATGAATCCAAAATAATAGTAAAAGTCAGAGTTTAAGGGAAAATGCTGAAGGCGTAAGTGTAACTTTGTAGAGTGGTTTGTGGATACAGTGCTGGGAAGATTCCTTCATGGGACTCTGAGCTTTGCACAGGCAGTCAATGTGTATGGATGGAGAGGAAAAGATGGGAATACTTAGTTACCACAGAAACCATAGACATGGACTTTCGCAACTTTTAGATGAACTAAATCATTGATCACCTAAACGTGTTTAGAATGTAACATAGGCGGCTTAATCAGGTTAGCATCTCTGAGTCCTTTAATCCACAATTGACTTACCTCAACCTGCTCTTGGTGACTCTCTTGCAAGCATCAGAGTGACTTAGAGTGTTGGTGCATCATTCCTTACAGTGATGTTTCCTTAAGTAGTCATGATGGCTCCATTTGGCATAAAATTGCAATATAGAAAATGCTTTAGGGAAAGTGGTGGTCAAGGAAAAATTCAGTGCTTCAATTGATCTCGGGCGAAACCCTTCCCTCAGAAGGCTATTGGGATGGTACAAAATAAAGCTGGCTGTTGTGATCTGTGCAGCCTAAGGAGTTCCTGCCAGCGACTCCACTGACATGTAGCAGTATCTTAACCCACATCATTGAAACAAATTTCAGAATGAGTTACCATGAAACAGCGCTGGAGTTTATTAAACAGCAGGTATACCGTCAAAATTCAGTGTGGACATTAAGAAAAAGAGACACACTTTAGTATCCTACTGTAGCTGTGGATGTTGGTTTGGGACTTTTTGAAGCCATGTTATTCAAAGGTGTGATCTAATACCTAAGGGTTAGTAAAATGTGCTGTTATATTTCTTTTCTTTATTTTTAAAATCATATTTTATTTTATGCATAGCAATACAATTACATTTGACATTATCATAGAATTATCTGGTATAGATTTTTTTCTTCCTCCTTTCCTTTTTACAAATTTAAGTTTTGAAAGACTTGGGTGCGTGTGTGCTGGTGTGTGTGTGTGTGTGTGTGTGCGCACGCGCACGCACGCATTGTGTTCATGCATGATCCCTGCGTGAAGTACCGGCAGAGGCTAGTAGAGGGCACCAGACACCCTGGAGTTGAAGTTGAGCTACCTGATGTGGATGCTGGGAACCAAACTTGGGTCCTCTCCATGAGCAAACCAACCCTTTAGACACTGGGCCATATTCAGCCCTTCTTACAGTTTTAAATGGAAGAAAAAGAAAAACTTCGAATTACACAATTCCTCCCCAAACATTTTTAAAGTGATTTTTTTCCCAAATGGGTCAATTCAACTAACATATTTGGTGCCTCTATTAGTCATTTTTAATTCCTATTGACCAATGACCAGTGTAATCACAAAAACAGGCAAAAATTTCATAGTCGATGCTTCGCAGGAATAATGCTGGATTCTATTGAAAGTGGCAAAAGCCATTAAGAACATTAAATTCAGCCGGGCGGTAGTCATCTGCAACAATCAAATCTCTAGATATGTTAGACATGTTTTCAAGATCATACAGAGATATATTTTAGATAGATAAATTGTATTGTATTCAAACACTTAAAAGACCTATAGAATATTGCATTTAAAATGTTTAGTTAACCTAAGATTTTTTCATGACAATGAGACACATCAACTTCTGGCAGTACCAATTTACTTCATAAAAGGATGATGGGCATCAAAGAAATTCCACAGGAGTTTGTTTTTATTGTGGCAAAATTAGCCATTTGGGCAAGAAACTGTTTTTGCCTTGATTGCTTGATGGTATGCTGTAGAAACTGGACATGTAGGACCCAAAGAAAATTGACTGCTGAACTTTGCTGAAACAAGATGGGACAGTCCTTCAGGATTCCTGCTTCATGGAAGAGTCTGCCAGACATTTTGCAGGACACAGAGGAAAGCAACTGACAAACTTTGCCAATACAATGCAGGACAGTCCTTCAGATTTCCTGCTTCACTGAAAAGTCTGCCAGATGTTATGGGCCTGTAGGCTGAAGATGGATATGTCAACATTGCAGAGGAACTTTGGGTGACTGTCCAAGCAGCAAGAAGTCTCTGTTATTAGGTAATACTACATCCTTCTGGGGGGAGGGGCTTTGATGGAGTTAAAGACTAAAAATTGAGTTATAGTTTTCCTTAGTTATGATAGAAAGTAAATTAGAAATAAAACTTTGAATTCACTGAGATGGGATAGATAAAGGAGTGTTTCTCTGAATTTGCTAAGAACAAATGGACTAAGTATTGTAAATTCATTCTTATGTGGTAACTGTTTTTGTTGTATATAGTTTTACTATGCTAAAGTTAAAACCTTTAATTTTTATTTAGAAAAAAAGGGACATTTTATGGAATATTATTTAAAAGATGCGCTACATTTGTTTATGCTATGGAACATTTGTTTAATGATGAAAAGATGTGTTACGTTCTTTTATGTTACATTTGTTTAACTCTGTGTTTGCTTGTCTAAAACACCTGTTTGGTCTAATGAGGAGCTGAATGGCCAAAAGCAAGGCAGGAGAAAGGATAGGTGGGGTTAGCAGGAAGAGAGAATAAATGGGAAGAGAAATCTGGGAGGAGATCAAGGAGTGAGAAAAGAGGGGGCCAACCATCCAGCTACACAGCTGGAAAAAGAAGGAAAGACAAGATATACAGAAATAAGGACAGGCAACAGCATGGAGACAACAGATAGATGGGATACTTTAAGTTAAAAAAATCTGGCTAGAAATAAGCCTAGCTAAAGCCAGGCATTTAAAAGTAATAATAAGCCACAATGCGTATTTATTTGGGAGCTGGGCTCCCAAAAGAGTAAAGAGTTAAAAGAAGAAAAACAAACAAATAAAAAACAAAACAAAAACAACAACGCAGACCAATGACTCATTGCAATGAACTGTAGCACAAAAAATAAAAGACCCAGAGACTGAATTTGGGTTCAAGCTTTAGGCTGAAGATCAGAAAAGCAAAGCAGCCTGTCACTAGCTCTTACTTCTACCTATGCTCAGACCAAAGGGGTGATCCTCAAATTGCTTCCCACTTCACTGCTTCTCAGATTCACCCATACTACTATGTTCTCCTCAACGGGGCTGGAGACTAATCCTGAGACTAATTCTCAAAGTCAATGCCTTGTTATCCTCAATGTGGCTGGAGAATTAATGCCAGATTCAAGACCCTGTTACTGTCTTAAATACCTCCCATGAGTCCTGGGATTAAAGGCATGAGCTCTGTTACTCTTTTAGACTTACTCAATCTCATGTAGGTTTGGGTGGCCTTGAACTCAGAGAGTTCCTTCTTCCTTTGTCTTCTGAGTCCTGGGATTAAAGGTGTGTGACACCACTGCCTGACATCTACAGTATGTGGCTGACTTTGCTTTCTGAATCCCCAGGCAAACTTTAATATAAAAAAGATATATCACCAGCCAGGCAGTGGTGGCGCACGCCTTTAATCCCAGCACTCGGGAGGCAGAGGCAGGCGGATCTCTGTGAGTTCGAGGCCGGGCTGGACCGACAGCCTCCAAAACAATACAGAGAAACCCTGTCTCGTAAAACCAAAAAAAAAATAAAAGATATATATCACCACGATGAACCCTTGCAAGTAAAGACGCATGGACTAAAGGGCATAATGTATGACTCACTGTGTCACACTACAGCTTTCACGATGAGATTTTTCTTTTTTCTTTTCTTTTAAGATTTATTTTATTTTGTCTTGTGGGGAAAGTTTGCAAGGGCAGAGGGCAGATCTGAAGGGATGAGGAGATGAAGGGGCCCAGATTGCCAGATGCCAGATGTGAAACCCACAAAGAATCAATGAACAGTTAAATTAGAAAATAAAAAAGAAAATTAAATAAGCAACCTACAATGGGGGTAGGAAATAGAGATGTAGGGGTAGGGGTGGGAAGGTGTAGAGGTAAAGGTAGGGGTGGAAGGTGGAGGGGTAGGGGTAGGGGTAGGAGGTGTATAGATGGAAGTAGAAGGAGTTTTAACATTGCAAGCTGACTGCTGGGGGGAATTGCGCAGGTTTTTGTGAGCACTGTGCTAATAAGCTAAAAACCAACAAAGACCAAGCGAGGCAGGGCATGGTGGTACCCTCGTTCAATCTCAGCACTCAGGAGGCAGAGGCAGGAGACTCTCTGTTAGTTTGAGGCCAGCCTGGTTTCCATAGTGAATTCTGTCAATTAAAGTTTCTGTCCTACCAGGTTCCACCGCCCTTCAGCCCCAAATAAGCACACAGAGACACATTAATTATTAAATTGTTGGCCAATGACTAGGGCTTCTTACGGGCTAGCTCTCGCTTACTAATTAACCCATAACTTCTAATCTATGTATTGCCACGATGTTGTGGCTTACCCATAATCTGGCATGTTACTCTTTGGGCATTGTGGTGTCTCTTCGTGGCCTCCCTCTGCCTTCTCTTCCACAGCCTTCTCCTGGTCTAGTAGCCCCACCTATCTTTCTCCATGGCTATTGACCAAACAGTTTTATTAATCAACCAATAAGAGAAGCATATGTACAGAAGGGCATCCTCCCCCCACCAGAATTCCATGTCATGCAGGCAAAACACCTGTACACATAAAATAAAAATAAATAAATCTTTTTTAAAAGTTAAGAGTTCTCATTATGCCTGTTATATAAAGAGGTGAAAGCAGCCATAAATCAGATTGTTGGGGTAAAGGACTCTCCTGCTTCAAACTCTTTCCCGTTCTCATGCCCCCTTAATTCTCTGTGTCTTTTTTGTTCACCTCTCTACCAGGGGAATATATTGGAGAGGCTGAGAATTTGCACCATGCCAAAGCTTTGCCAGATTCTACAAGATTTAATGAACACAAAGAGGAACTGTAAAGTGGTGGTGACAGATCTGTGTTTTGAGGAAGTCCCTGTGAGGCTGTTCCAGCCCAAGGCAACTTCTTCCAGTCCCAGAAAAGGCATCATCTTCATCCATGGAGGGGGTGGCATACTTGGCAGCCTGGGTAAGAAGCATCCTGGGGCATGGGGCAAGAGATACATCAAGACCTGCATATCCTCAACGGCACTCCCACAAGGTCCTTTCAGGACAGATCAAAGTACACAATAGCTGAGGATGGGTCCCTCTACAGCGAATAGATTAAAGTTGAGAGTCACACTATGTCATAGTCTCAGTTTTAACAATGAACAGCAAGGTTCAGGCAAAGCGTTCAGAGTAATGGACATGAAATGATTCATTTCCCTGTATTCCTCTCTCCTCCCCTTCCCTGCCCTCCACTCTCCTCCCTCCCCTTCATCTTATCCAGTCTCTCCCACAAGGATCCCAAGCCCATGCATCTTTTTAAAAACTCTGTTGGGACCACCATGTCTGGCCCTTCCACTCCATATCCCAGTGATGGTATCATAATTCCAATTTATCCCTTTGGGCTGTTTTATTTTCCCCGAATCAGAGTGATCTTTGAAGATAACGGTTTGAAACCTGACATTGCTTATCTTCAGCCTCTTCGGTGCTCCCTCAGTGACTCTCTCTGAACTGGTCACCTGTGTCTTACCCTGAGGCTGCATTGTTAAATTCCTTCCACTGCCCTGTGTTATGGACACATCTGTGGTTTGGGAGAGACCCCTACCATCTTTTTTTTTTTGGAGACAGGTTCTCTCTGTATTGTTTTTGGAGGCTGTCCTGGAACTCGTAGACCAGGTTGGCCTCGAACTCACAGGGATCTGCCTGCCTCTGCCTCCCAAGTGCTGGGATTAAAGGCATGTGCCACCAACGCCTGACGACCACTACCATCTTAACTATCATTTTTACTCATTAAAAATTGATGCACTAGAGGGTGAAAGTTTAGACAAGTTGCTGCATAAAAGGAGACATTGATGAATGAGCTAGCAAATGTATAGTTGGGTGGATGGACAGATGGCTGCTTGCATGCATGCTTGTCCAAATTTTCCCCTGTGCAAGAACAATTTCTCCTGTCCCTTCTCCCTGACCCATAGGGGTCACTTACTGCCACCTGCTGGTGGAAATATTCATGGTAGTTCTACAGTAGGAAGTGCTGCCAGGCTGTCCTCTTTTCAGTCACAAACCATGAACGTGTCACCATATATGGAACCCACCTAATTTCAAGTGCATTCACCTGCATCAAAAGCCACTAGGAATCCCACTTCACCCGTGCTGCCAGTCCCTGTAGAGGGCAAAAGCAATGATGGTTAAGCAGATATTTATTGACCACACACTCAGCTTCCAATCTTCTCCAGGCTCAGGGAACACACTGGAGAACAAGAAGACCCAGTCCCTGACCTATGAACCTGTGTGTCAAAGGAGAAGGCTGGAACATGCAGGAGAAGACAAATGAAAAAGCGCTTTCAGATGTGGAGAACATGCAGGCAAAACCACTTATATACATAGAAATAAATTTAAAATACTACCTCTCTAGAAGACCGAGGGTCCTAACGGGCCCTTGCTTCAACACTCAGTGATACCTTACCTGCCTCACTCACTGATACCTTTCCAGCCCTGTGAAGTCTACAAGGAAGAGCTCAAGTGAAAAACTCTTGACCAGGACCGACTTAAGAAATAAAAATGTCAGGGTGACAGAGTAGACAGTGAGGTTGGACAGTTCACAAGGCCTGGAGCCCAGGTCAGAGTTAGTAGCGGTCTTTCCCTTGGTTATATTTAAACTCTCCTGGAGTTTAACTCATAGAAATGTAAACTTTTAAAGCCACTCCATGGCCGTGCCTTGGTGGTGCGTGCCTTTAATCCCAGCACTTGGGAGGCAGAAGCAGGCGGATCTCTGTGAGTTTTAGGCCAGCCTGGTCTACAGAGCGAGTTCCAGGACAACCTCCAGAGCTACACAGAGAAACCCTGTCTTGAAAAAAAAAGCCATACCCAGGGTACTCCTTGACCCTTTAGCTGTTTCAGCCCCCTCTAGGATGGAACCAGGCTTCTTTATTGCAAACAGTTGCCAGGAGGCTGAGACTGTTTGTGACGAGTCTTGGACACAGAAGCTGAATGTCCAGAGAGCTGAGACGGTGTCACCTACGCCGCTGTGTCTGCTCTCTCACCCCCTTCTCCGCGGTGCTAATGACACATATGCCTACCCTGAAGCCCCCTCGATACTGGAATTACCTGGTATCATTTTTAAAATCGCGTTTTGATGCTTCCCATGGCAATCATGCTGACCCAGTGGTCAGGGCAGCCAGGGCAGAAGATGTGCACCGACTGTCCCATCATGCATGCTGATGGCTGGGCCTGGGAGGGGCTGAGTCAGAGGAGCGCTTGATACACTGGGCTGGGAAGCACTATGCACTAATGCTAAAGGACAGCCAGGGCAGTTACACAGAGAAGCCCTGTTTTCAAAAGCCAAAAAAAAATAGATTTTTAAATGTATGTCCAACCTTTGTTTATCTCCTAATTAATGCTAACATATAAAATATTAATACTCCCTGGTAGTTAATCCTATTTTCCCAGTCAATTCCTCAGTTTCCCCATCCTGCGGTAGTTCAGTCCCCATATCCACTCAAACTCAGACACTCAGACGCTTAAGGCAAACATCTGGCTTTGAAAGGGACAGTTGGTGAGGTCACTTCATAGGGGATAAGAATAGGGACAGACAGAGGATCTCAATTTCATGACCAAATGGCAGATGACATCCTGAGGCTATGGTGGACACTCCTCATGAGCGAACTTTCACTCGGTCTTCTTTTTCAGATTCCTACCATGCCCTGTGCAGTTTATTAGCCCAGGAGACAGACTCAGTGCTTCTGGCAGTGGGGTAAGTGGCTGGGGACACTTAGTTATTCATTTTTTCCCACTGCATTGACTTCTACCTGAAGGGAGAAAGGACTTGTTTGGTTCACAGATTTAAAGGCTTCAGTCTATGCCCTGCTTGCTCCATTGCTGTGGGTCTGTGGTGTAGTGAAGTGTCATGGTAGCAGAAACACTTGGCAGAGTGTAGCTGGTCACCCCCATGGTGGTCAGGAAGCAGAAACAGGCTGGATGGTTAAGAACAGGGCTGTCTTCAAGGTACAAGCTCAGGGAGTCACTTCCAACTGTCTCCCAACAAAGCCATCAAACTCTAAATCCATCAGTTAGCTCATCCATCAGAGCAGTCAAAGCCCTTGTAATCCAATCATTTCTTGATGACTGTATCTGCCAGCTGGGCACCTAGCTTTCACAAAGACCTTTGCATGTGGGATGCTTCATATGAAAAAGGTAGCCTTTCCCCTTTGGGTACCAAAGGCTTATGGTGATAATCTCATAGTGTAAAGTACATCCAGATGACTTCCAAGAGTCTCCAATAGTTCCAGAGCTATTCAAAAGTTCAGGTACGAGGTCTTCTCTGAACCACAGGCCAAGTGCTTAGCTTTGAGGTTTTACGAAATTTCCAATTCGGTGTTTATGTTTCTGATATGCAATGGCATAGCGCAAAATTCTCACTCCAAATGGGAGGAAGTGAGGGAAGAGAAAGGAGAAATGGGTGCAAAATGAGACCGAAACATAGGCAAATGATAAATCCTGTAGCTCCATGTCCAGCATCTATGATACCTGGTGGCATGATGTGAACGCCAATGGAGTTCTGCAGCCCTGTTTCTGTACCCTTGCCAGCAGCAGCCCTCCCAGCCACTCTACTGGCGTGGCTTTGCTTCTTGAGGGCAGCTTTCTTCTGTAGTCATTCCACACCTCTGCCGTCACCACCTTCTTTGGACCTCCTTACAGTGTAGGCTTTACTATTATTATACCTTCAGATATTACCCCTCCGGGGGCTTTCTGCAGGGAGTCTGAAGTTCACCTACTCTCCCAGAATTTCCTTTGAAATCGCTGTGGAAGCCTCCGAAACCCTGGAACTACTGAAGTATGAGATCATGGGTTATGGGAGGTGCCAGGGCCCACTGTCTGAACAAGGTGATACTCTCCTCTAAACTGTGAGTCTTTCAGATGAGTTTTGAGTTTGCACTCTGGAGCGTGCAATGCAGATCTGACCAATTACTATTGTCCACACTGAATTCATTTTTAAAGATGCTGCTCTCTTTAACAACCCCACTCTCCGGGCTCAGAATTTTTTCACTAAGCTACTTTTGGAGCCTTCTGCCCATTTTATTTTCAAATCCCATTTTTATTTATTTATTTTTTTTAGTATTGTTGTTGTTCCATATTCTCACTGTAAAAAAAGCCAGCCGTAATCCAGTTGTGGTAACAGCCTGAATGCTGAGCTGGCTTAAAACTTGCTCCATCAGATAAGTAGATCATCTTTAAATTTACTTTCCAATGAAGTACCAGGGTCTGGGCAAGATAGAAATAATCTCTTTGCCACAATGTCATAAAAATAACTTCCAGTCTAACTCCAAACTCTTCTCATCACCACTGAAAAATCTCATGAGAGCTTCCTTTCCTAGAAACAGTCTGGTCTCTGGAATTCAGTTTAGCTCCACCTGCAGCATTTTGTGGGGCTTTCTCCATCCACGTCTCTAAACTTTCCCAAATTCCTCCCCAAACCATTTTCTAAGGTTTTGTAGCCACTCCCACCAGCAGGTAGTCATAGCAACAACTCCAGGTGTCTAGTATCGTTTTGTGTTAGATTTTTGTTTTCATTGATGTGATGAATAAGTGAGAAACATTTCTTAAGGGAAGAGGGTCTATTTCGGTTCCCAGATTCAGAGGCTTCCGTCTATATCAGTTCTGTTCTCTTGCTGTGGCTCTGCAGTGATGCTGAAGATTCTCTGGCAGGAAAGGGTCATAGTGGAAACTTGCTTCACCCCGTGCCAGCCAGAAGGAAGGGAGTCTGGAAGTGTCCAGGGGCAAGTTGCTTTCAAAGGAACAGTCTTAGTTGCCTACAGAGCTGGGCAGTTTCAGGACTTCTAACACTGTCACACAGACAGACACGCAGACAGAACACCAGCAAACATAAAATAAAAATAGATTACATATGAAAACAATTTATTTGTATGTGTGTGTGTACCTGTATAAGTTCACATGTAGACTCTGGATCAGAATTGGGTATCAGAGTACCCTGGAACTGGAGTTAAATGTGGCTTGTGAGCTACCTTGTGGGTGCTGGGACCTGAACTCTAGCCCTTTGCAAGACCAGTAAGTACTCATAACTGCTAAACCGGCTCTCTAGCCCTTAAGCTAACTTTTTAAGTTAACATACAAACTGCTGGGTTTCACTGTGGTGTTTTCACATGGATCAGTAATTATACTTTGTTCTTGCCCATCCTCCTCCGTATTCCTCCTAAAGTTTTGTAATTTCTTTAATAACAGGTATAATCAAGAGATTTCTTTTTCCTTCGTTTCTTCCCTCCTTCTCTCCTTTCTTTCTTTCTCTATTCCTTCCTTCCTTTCTTTCTTCCTTCCATTCTTGCCTCAAATGCCACATATGGCTACATAACTATATAACCCTGAGCATCTGTTCCCTGTAACCCCCTCCAGGACTTCAGGTGTACAGCACCACACCCTGATTATGCAATCTTTGTACTAGGTGAGCATTCTACCAGTTGAGCTCCACCCTCAGCCCCTCTGTAGTGTTTTCTGAAAACATATAGGTGCAAATAAAGCTATGCATAAAGGACATAGCAGGGACGATGAGTCCAGGACTCAAGGTACCCCTTCAGTTAGTAAGAACAAAGATGGTAAAGGCAGCCCAAACTGGCTGAAGGTCATAAATAAGATCCTGGTTTTTCTGTGGAAATGGCTTTTCGGGAGTTCATTGCATGGGGGAAAAAAGACATCTATCCACTAAAGGCCTACTGGCCTACAGTGCAGGAACCAATTAGGAGGTTGCTGAAAAAAAGAAACAGCCCAATAGGCTTTTGAGTGGATGGAAGGACAACTGGGGTGTGTCTTAGTTAAGTGACTGAAACACCCTGACAAAAACCACCTAGGGAGGAAAGAGGTTATTTCTCTGGCACTTCCATATCACAGTTCATTAGCAATGTTAGTCAGGGCAGGAACTCAAACAGGGCAGGGACCTGGAGGCAGGAGCTGATTCAGAAGCCATAGAGGGCGCCTCTTGCTGTCTTGGTCAGCCCACTTTCTTATAGCACCCAGAGCCACTAGCCTTGGGTGGTATCATCCACAATGGGCTGGACCCTCCTACATCAATCCTTAAATCAAGAAAACACACCTAAGGATTGCTCACATGCCTATCTAGTGGGAGTATCTTCTCATTTGGGGCTCCCACCTTCAAAAGGATGCTGGCTGTGTCAGGTTGACATATACCTAGCCAGCACAGCATCTCTTTACAATCTAGGGCCCCTCTCTAAGGAAACAAAACCACTCAGCGGGACACAGAGTAGAGAAGAGAGGAAGAATTGACATCCTCAGCTTTCATATTTGCCTCTTTAGAAACACAGGCAACTCCGACATCCACAAGCTGGCACACAGTACAGGGTACCACTGGGATAAGGCTGAACCTTTCTGATGACTTTGGGAAGGGCATCACTCTTTAATGTCCAGTAGCTCACCCACAGTGGGTTTCCATAGTGTCTGAACATCACCATTAGAATCCAAAAGCCTCCTAAACAACGAAGGTCTCACAAACCAGGCTCACAGAGAGGCTGTGGGCTGCTGCTCAGTATAACTTTTGCATGATGTTTGAAGAGATCTAGTCCAGGGACCTGGATTGTGATGCAGTGCTTGGAAAAATGACTCAGCCAGAGGAGGGGGTTTGTGCCTGGGAGGAGATGCCTGAGAGAATCTGAACATGGAGAGATATTCTCCTCTATTCCCCCTCCTCCCGTCTTCTCCTTTCTCATCCCTTCTTATTCCCTCTGCTCCCTCTCCCTCTCCTTGCCTTCCCTTTCCTCTCCTCTCCTTCCTTCTCCTCCCCCTCCTTTTTAAATTTTTTCCTTTTCTTTCTCTTCTCTGAACACAAGAAACTTAACCTTGCTACTGATCTTGGCTCCCCATTTTCTGTAGCTAGGCAGACCAGCAGGACTTTTGATTGCCATTTTACTTTCTTCTGTCAATTCAGGGTTTTTTTTTCTGCTTTTAAAACCAGATGTTTCGTTTTCTATTTTTATTTACAAATGGGGGTGTGTGTGTGCGTTGCACGCTGTGGTGTAAATATGGAGGTCAGAAGACAACTTGCCAGAGTCATTTCCATCCTGCTCCCCTTTGCCTTCCGGCAAATTCAGGTCAGGCCACAAAACTGGGAAACAGCTTCCTTAATCTCTTTGGCCACAATCTTGATTTCTAATTTACATGATTTGCCTGATTGTCTCTAGGTACCACCAGGTGAGTCTGAATAGAGAATCCCAGTTGTTTTGACACTGGACAAATTCTTCAATTTGCACAGTAGGAAATGGAGGGTAACTATTCTTACTTGTTCAGTCATTTTAGGGTTTAATCAAATTCAGTCTCAGGTACACAGAGGACCATGTTTAAATGGACTCCACCCACCTGCCTGCATAATTGCTATGATGTCTTTCTCTTTCCTGTTTAGGTACAGAAAACTTCCTGAACACTGTCATCCAGTTGGTCTTCAGGATTGCCTGTGTGCCTCAATACATTTCCTGAAGTCCCTGAAAGCCTACGGGGTAGACCCCTCCCGGGTTGTGATCTGTGGAGAGAGCATGGGAGGTTCAGCTGCGGTCATCATCATCCAGATCTTATTGGGCAGACCAGATCTTCCTAAGATCCGGGCTCAAGTCCTGATTTATCCAATCCTTCAGACAATCAACTTCCAGTTACCATCACATCTGCAAAACCAAAATGTCCCATTCCTCACTAGAGACTTCATGATAACCTGCATTCTTAGGTATTTTTCCATTGACCCCTCCTGGAAAGATGCTATTTTGACAGGGGCTTATATCCCCCAAGACATCTGGATGAAATACAGGAAATGGCTCAGCTCTGATAATATTCCCCAAAGGTTTAGGAACAAAATACAGCAACCTGAGTTTCCTGGACCCTTTAACAAATCTGCCTACCTAGAACTCAAAAACCTTCTGGATGAAGGAATTTCACCCCTTGTAGCAGATGATGAGGTCATTGCCCAGCTTCCAGCTACATTGCTGGTGAGCATTCACTGGGATGTTCTCCGAGATGACGTTTTGCTCTACAAGAAGCGCTTAGAAGACCAGGGGGTCCCTGTGACCTGCTACCATGTAGAGGATGGCTTTCATGGATGCTTATTTTTGTTTGATAAGATTTTCTCTTTCCCTTGTTGCTGGGATATAATCAATGCGATAGTGCGTTTCACAAAGGATATGTGAAGGTTTGCACAGAGAATGAGTAGTGGAACACTTCCCTGCCACACATAAGGTTCTGAATTGAATACCTAACACTGTAGACTGACAGAATAAGAGGTAAAGAAAGAAATAGAGAGATAAAGGGATGGATAGATAGATTATAGGTAGATAGATAAATAGAGAGATAGATAGATAGATACACAGACAGACGGACAGTGTAAGGAAGTCTTCTGCCCCAGCTGCGACCTTAGCTGGCCTCCAGTTTTCATGGAAGGAAACGTTGAGTGGGTGCAAGCTACAGGTTTCCCGGGTGAAGACTCGCAGCCCTAACCATGTCCACTGCTGCATCTAGCATTCTCTATCATCCCGTTCATAGAGTAGGCATGAAAGAAAAAACAAATGTCTTTACATTTTCTTGAATTTTAACTTACATTCTGTGAATAAATGTGAGCAAGCAGAATGTCAACAGTGATGTCTTTGTACTCAGTAATAACTCATCTTGGGCCATACTCCCAATGAAGGAGGCCATGAGGTCAAGGTCACTGGGGACAGGCCAACTCACTTGAGTTCAGAGGAACCCCCAACTCCCAATTTGGCTACCCTTGGGCTGCACAATTGCAATATTAAAAAGACATTTTCAGGAAAGAGAGAGACAGGGGAAGGAGAGGAGGGGGAATAGACAGAAAAGGTGAATAATAGGAAGCTTTTCCTGGACTTCAGCTTTTAGTTAGACATCCAAAGTCAGTCCCTGGCTAACAAATGGTTAGATCCAAGGTTGTTCTGGGAAGCTCTGGAGGCTATCTGGGATATTAAAAGGAATGGTTTACGCATGTTTGACTCTCTCTCTCTCTCTCTCTCTCTCTCTCTCTCTCTCTCTGTGTGTGTGTGTGTGTGTGTGTGTGTGTGTGTGTGTGTGTGTGTGTGTGTGTGTGTGTGCATTAGATCCCCTGGAACTTTAGGTAAAGATAGCTATGAACTGCCACATGGGTGCTGGGAACTGTTGAGTCAGTCTCTGTTTCTTTCTTGAAAAAATAAAAAGACATTCATGTTCATATCCCAGATGGTGCCCAGACCATTTCAAGAAATGCATTTTTCAGGTCATCCTCAGCTACATATTAAATTGGGAGTCAGCCTGGACTGTGTGAGCTCTTATCTCAAAAGGAAACCTTTTTTTTTTTTAATTTTCGAGACAGAGTCTCACTATGTAGTTCTGGCTGACCTTGAAATCACAAAGACTCTACTCCTTCTGCCTCCAGAGTGCACCATGGAAATACATTGAAAAATGAAATAGCATGCTAACTTTCTTTCTCTAGTGAGCATACATAGCCTTCTGGTTATTCGAAAAGCCTTTGCCTTTGCCTGGTCAACACAACTCTCTGGTCACAAGAAAAGGCAAGGACTCTGTGCTCCAGAGTGGAGGGAGCCCAGTAGTTTATGTGTGACCTGACTTTCCTATGCACTGAATGGAAGCTCCAAGGCCATGGCTCTCCAGGCATAATAAACTGGATGCAGGAACTCCAGACTGGATGAAACTGGAGCCACGTAGCTGCTGTCCCTTTTGCACAGCCACAACTTTTCTGAGACCAATACTCTAAATAGTCACTGTTGCTACTGCGACAAAATACCCGAGGAAGCAATTTAGAGAAGTATAGATGTATTGTTATAGAATGAGGTTTTCCCATTCATCACAGCTGGGAGGCTGTGGCAGAACAGAGCAAATCACATGGGAGACCAGCAGTGAGAGGAAATGCCCAACATGGGCTCTCTCTTGTCCCACTTCCATGACGATTTTTAGGGTGTTGCCGCACACATTTAAGGTGCCGGTGCACGGAGGGAGAGGGAGGAGCAGGAAGGGTGTGTAGGTACAGGGCTGATGTATAAGACCCTGTGCTGGCCTTCCTCGTGCTTCTGGTGGTACACAGTGCCATTTGGCTCATAGCAATATCGCCTCTTCCCATTTTGCTTCTCACTTACTTTCCTCCCTTGTCTCCGTGTAGTTTTCCTCTTCCTCTCTCTTACAAAGGTGCCCATCCTTGCATGTATTCCTCTCCATATGCAATGACATACATGGTCCCATCATCTGAATAATGCTCTCCTGATATTCTAGGTGACACATCTTTTGAAGACCAGCATCAACACCCTGCCAGTGGCTAACCTGTATGTCCATTCATGTGCATCTGGTACCTCACAATGTGCTTAGTGTAACACAGGTCCTTCTTTACCCCTATCTTAGCAAGAAGGCAATCCCAGAGTGCCTTGTACCCCTACTCCCTTCTCTACCCCACCAGCAAGGAACACCGACATCAGAAGAGGAAAAACCTGTCTTATTGTTGATACCGGAGATAAATCTACCATCTCCAGCATTTTATCATACACCACCCAAAGACCATTATCCCCTAAGTGCTTAAAAATGTATTGCATTAATGAGTGTTTTAAGTTTTGGGAGCCCACTTAGACCAGGAGATTTCTGCAGTGAGAAAAAAACAGTCTCAAGAGGAGGGGAAACCCCATACCAGGGCATGGCAGGTGGAAGGTGGACAACACTGAAAATCCAAAAAGGCAGTGGCTGTGGATTCAGGGATTGGTTTTTCAAGACAGGGTTTCTCTGTGTAGGTTTGGAGCCTATCCTGGCACTTGCTCTGTAGCCCAGGCTGGCCTCAAACTCACAGAGATCCTCCTGCCTCTGCCTCCCAAGTGCTGGGATTAAAGGCGTGTGACACCAATGCCAAGCTCATTTTATATTTTAAAATGTGTGCTCAGTGCTGAGAAGATGGCTCAGTTCATAAGGCATAATGTGAGAATTGAAGTTCGGATCACTTCCCACAACTGGGAAGGTATGATGGTAGGAAAGTAGACACAGTATAATCAGTTCAATCTGGCTAGAATTGGTGAGCTCCAGATTCAGGGAAAGACCATGCCTTGATAAATAAAGCTGAGAGCAACTGAGGAAAACACCTAATTTCAACTTCTACACACACACACACACACACACACACACACACACACACAAGATAGTATGCATACACATGTGTGAATGCACAGACACACAAAAGTGTACTCACAGGGAAGATGCTTAACATCCCTCATAATTGGCTTATCTAGGTTAGGGTGACATATTTAGATCAGCATGACTTTAGACCTCAAAACCTGTATCTGCAGGACGTAAGGTCAGAACTAATACAAGAAGCAACTGTGAAACCCATTTCCAGTATTAAGAAAATATGGCTAGTGAGTAGAGAGGAGAGTCCAGAGCACTTTATGTGACTTCAGTGAGCTTCCTCAATCTTCAAGGGACTTGTCTGTTGGACCCCAGCCCCCCCCCCCCCCGGGTCTCTGTGAGTTGCTTGTCTGCCAATAACCACAGGTGCATCCTGTTTTCTAGTCCTGGCTTACAGCCCCAGCCTTGCCCCACTGGCATCAACTTCTAATTATGAAAACAGGAACTCTTACACCTGGGGTTTCTCCACTGTGCTGTAAGTCTGTATATAAGGCTGTTCCCTCCTTGCAATAAACACACACACACACACACACACACACACACACACACACGCACGCGCATGCACACGCACTCATTCTCTTAGCACAAATGGCTGGACGTCTTGTCTTTCATTTAAATCTCCAGGCTTTCGCCTGATACATTAGACTTGCTTGTGGTGCAGGCGCTACAAGTGGAGGTCCCACCGAGATCAGGAATGAAAGAGGACCCTGAGAGATCACACTCGGAGGCTGGCCAGCAAGTAAGGATTTGTGAGGGTGAATTGAAAATGGGTACCAAGTTACACAGAGAAACCCTGTCTCAGAAAAGGAAAAAAGAAAAGTAAAGGAAGCAAGTAAGAATTTATGAGGGTGAATTGAAAATGGGTACCAAGTTAAAGTAAAAGTAAAAGAAATGGAGTAATAATAAATAAATAAATAAATAAGCCATGTAAAGATGGAAAATACACAGACTGTGGATACTGTACGCTGTTGGGTTGTCTCTGGATTGTTTAACTGCCGAGGAAATAGCAACAACTGCTAAAAAATGCTGCTGGATTAATCCAACCTATGTATTTTAAAAATGCCTTGACTTAAAAATTTAAACAAAGAACAGGTTACTTTGGAAAAGAGATTTTCTTTTTGTTTCTACAGAAAATGAAAAGCTGTGGATTCCTTCCAGACTAATATGGTTTGATGAAGAAAGATCCCCTGAAGCAGTGGCCCAGGTGATCCAACATTCATAACAGCTGGGACAAAGCAGCCTTGCAGACCACTATATTCAGGATTTCTGGGCTTGCTTAGGATCCCCATGTATGGACAGTGTTTATAAATGTTTTTTTCATTTAAATGGTGTTTGTTATAAATGGTAATGATCACAGTCAATCTCTTTTTAAAGGGAAAAAGGGATAGATGTTTAATCAAAGAATGGGCTGGGTCCCTACCTCTACTTCTTATAGCCATAGGACTTATTATTATGTGCTTCATTTAGCTAAGGTACCTGGGTGCTAGACAACCCAGGCTCAATTTGTAACTCCAGGACCACAGAGAATCATTCAGCCCAATGATGGTTGAGCCTACAGAAAAATTAGGCAGCCAATGACAGGCAAGACTAAGGGGATGCCAGCCAACCTAAGACAGGAGGGTCATCAAGCCTGGGTGATTTCTTCATTGATGGTAAGGTTGGTGTTAACGTCCTCGTCACCTAAGACAGACACTAATTTATACATAAAGAATGGGGAGATGTTGGGCCTCAGCCCCCACGGGGCCTCTGTGAGGTGCTTGTCTGCCAGTAACTACAGGTGCATCCTGTTTTCTAGTCCTGGCTTACAGCCCCAGCCTTGCCCCATTGGCATCAACTTCTAAGTATGAAAATACAAACTCTTACACCTGGGGTTTTCCCACTGCACTGTTCCCTCCTTGCAATAAAGACACACACACACACACACACACACACACACACACATGCATTCTCTTAGCACAAATGGCTGGACGTCTTGTCTTTCATTTAAATCTCCAGGCTTTCACCTGATACATTAGACTTGCTCATGGCGCAGGCACCTCACTTGTCACTTGGCATCACTTTCCAGACAACCCCTTCTCCAAAAGCATCTATCTCCTAACCAGGTTGGTGACTCCCTTGGGTGGTGTGATAAAGGATGGCTCTGACCTGGGGACAAGGTACAAGGGCTCCACTGCCGCTGGGCAGGAACCTCTCTGGGCTAGGGTCTGTTGTAATCAGTTCACATAGCAATGTTTCCAATATCCAGAGGGGTTTGAAAAGGGGGTGACATTAGACCATTGTAGTTCATGCCAGTTTTTCTAGGTTGCTTCACTGGCAGTAGGTCTTAAATTGTGTATGTTTTTACCTTTCCTTCTCCTAGAGCACACTTGATATTTGCTATCATTGCATATAACTTTGTATCAAGCCTAAATCATCTTCTTTAGACTAAAAGGGGAATTGTAGTGATATCCACCTCCACACCTGTAGAAGTGACCACACCCAAAAGGGCGTGGTCACAGGCACAGACACCACTGGAGATACGGATTAGGTTTCGGGCTTGGAGATCTCTCTGGCTTCCAGATGGGGTTGCAGAGAGAATCCAGGTGGCATCCTTGGAGCAGGAACCTGTGGCAGTCATGTTTCTTGTGTAAGTGCATTCTCCCCCAATAAATTTCACTTAACCTGTACTGAGTTTTCATGAATCTTGATTCCCACGTGATAGACCCTAGCACTTCTCTGAAGGTTATAAGTTGGTGCCTGGGTTTGTGGGTAAGAAGTTCCGTGAAGGCTTCTTAGGACACAGGTTTTCCCTGGCTCACTCTGAAGGAACAAGGGTACCATGCCTCCCTTGGTGGAAGTTCTCCTTGCTGCCATGTGTCTCCTGGTCCTGGGAGTCAATGCATAGGTTCTCAATTGACCACCTCCTTACTATTGATGTGCCTCCCACTATCATGTATCCCACAGAGTTTTGGATTCTGCACTATTGCTTTCCTCTGACGATAACATGGGTAAAATTTGTTTCTTAATAATCATTTCCTGCCAGGTCAGACAAAACTTCAGCCTGAGGAAAGCATTTTGCCAGGATCCACATAGTCTAACAGCCAGTGTGTGTTAGTCAGTAATAATATGCCAGGCATGGTGTTTAAGGCTTGTTAAGGGCACCATGGTTATTAAGTGAGTTGTATGCACTCTCTCTTTTCCTTTACTTCCAACAAGAATAAGCAGCATGGAAGAAACTGGGGGGGTTCTTATCTAATGAGAAACAATCGGAGGCCCTTACAAATGCCAGCTATTGGATTGGGAAGGTGGAATCCTTGGCAACTCTGTGATGGGGGAGGTCCTTCTATATATGTTTCTCTTATTGGTTGATGAATAAAAAAAACACTTTTTGACCAATGAGGCAGGAAGATAGGTGGGACTAGAAGATGAGGAGAATTCTCGGAAACATAGGCAGACGCAGACACCATGTGAGACTGGGAAGGTAGGATATCCTGGACCATTCTCCTGTGAGATAAGACCACATGGAATTACTTAGATTAATAGAAATGGGTTAATAATTAAGACAGAGCTAGCCAATAAGAAGCCATAACTACCAGCCAACAGTTTTATAACTAACATAGCATCCATGTGTGTTTATTTGGGGCTGGAAACTGTGGTGGGACTAGCTGGACCAGAAAACTCATGCTTACAAAATTGTGCCCAGACTTGGTTTGGACAAATTTCCATGCAGAACCTGACAAAAGCTTAAAAAGTGATTTTAGAAACAAAAGAACAAGGTCAAGCACGGCTTCTTGGTAGCAGGATCTTTTCAGGTGTGCTCTGTTTGAAACAAACAGAGGCTCACACGGCTCCTTTAAGGGAGCTTTCATGGCTCAGCATAAATGACAAAAAAATGGCACAGTAGCTGCCATTTTAACTCCAGCCGTGCTGTTTAGCAGATAAAAGACTCGTGGCTGGAAAAAGACAGAGACATGCAGTAAAGACAGATTCCGATGAAATAAAACCTCTAAAGGATTTACAGTGTGTTTAAAATATATGTAGGTTTGGGAGAGGAAAGGAAAAGGATATGTGGTTTAAAAGGAAATAGAGTGGCTGCGTGTGGTGGCCCACGCCTTTGAGCCCAGCACTTGGGAGGCAGAGGCAAATGGATCTCTATGAGTTCAAGGCTAGTCTGGCCTACAGAGTGAATTTCAGGACAGGCAAAAGTACACAGAGTAACTCTGTCTCAAAATAAATAAATAAATAAATAAATAAATAAGTAAAATAAAAGTAAAAAACAGTAATAAAATGTCACATAAAGATGAAAAATAGAGAATCTGTGTACTATATGCTTTTGTGTTGTCTTTGAATTGTGCTAAGGAAGGAGAAACAACTGCTAACAGATATTTGATTATAAATGCTGATGGATTAACTCAATCTATATATCTTAAAAATACTTTGACTTCAAAATTTAAACCTAAGGGCAGGTTACTTTGGAAAAGAGGTTTTCTTTTTGTTTCCACAGAAAATGAAAAGCTGTGGATTCCTTCCAGGCTAATATGGTTTGATGAAGCAAGACCCCCCCCCTGAAGCAGTGGCCCAGGTGATGCAATATCCAAGACACCTGGACAATGCAGCTTTACAGACTACTATAGCCAGGATTTGGACAGGTTTCTGGGTTTTCTCAAGATCCCTATGGTATTGACAGCACCCCCAAACAGCAGGAAACAGTATTAAGAAAATGATGCCAAATTCTCAAATATTGTTTATAAATGTTTGTATTAATTTAATGGGGTTGGTTATAAATGGTTAATGATCATGACCAATCTCTTTCTAAAGAAAAAAAAGGGAATATGATATAGAAATGAATACTTTGTATTGGTATGGATTTTGATTTATTGATAATTAATTTAAGGTCAATATTGTTATATGTATATTTCTCTTGTTGTTTTGATATTTTTAATATCACTCATTTAAAAATGTAGTGAATAATTAAATACAGATTACATACAGTCACCTATAATAGTCAAAACTTATAGTTAGATTAGTTACATTTTCTAGCTATATAGAGATATATTACAACTGGATAGAACCTTTCAAAGACCTACAGAATATGGCATTTAAAATAGCTTAGGGTTTTCATTATTATGAGACACAGCTGTTCCTGGAAACACCAGTTACATCAGAGAAGAAGTTGGGCATCAAAGAAATTTGTTATGGAGTTTGCCTTTGACATGGCAAGACTAGCCATTTGGGCAAGAAACTGTTCTTGCCTGGACTGTTTTACTGTATGCTGTATAAACTGGACATGCAGGAGCTACAGGAAGTTAACTGTTGATCTTGCAAAACAAGATGGAATGGTGCTTGCAGGGTTCCTGCTTCATGGGAGAGTCTGCCAGACATTCTGCAGGACACAGAGAAAAATGACTGACAAACTGCCAATACAGGTGGACAGTTTCAAATTTCCTGCTTTGTCAAGAAGTCTGCCAGATACACTATGGCCTATGGGCTGAAGATGGATGCTCCACAATTATAGAAAAGTTGGGTGACTGTACAGGCAGCAAGATGTCTCTGTCAGTTCTAGAGTTTACATGTTATTCTTCTGTGGTCTTTGATGGAGTTGAAGATAGATAGTTATGGTTTCATTAGTTATGATAAAAGATAAATTACATATAATACTTTAGACTCACAAAGATAGGTGACAGAGTATTTTCTTTACATTTTGCCAAATGTTAATGGACCAAATATTACTAACTGTAGTTCTTGCTAGATAACTGTTTTGTTATGTATAATTTTACTATAGTAAAGTTAAAACCCTTTTTATGTAGACATAAAAGAGGAGATGATGGGAGAGGTCCTTCTGTATATGTTTCTCTTATTGGTTGATGAATAAAACACTGTTCCGCCAATGAGGTAGGAAGGTAGGCAGGACTAGAAGATGAGAATTCTGGGAAATGTAGGCAGACACAGATGCCATGTGAGAATGGGAAGATAGGACACACCAGACCCTTCTCCGGTATGATAAGACCACGTGGAAATACTTAGATTAATAGAAATGTGTTAATAAGGGCCGGGTGGTGGTGGCGCATGCCTTTAATCCCAGCACTCGGGAGGCAGAGGCGGGCAGATCTCTGTGAGTTCAGGGCCAGGTTGGACCGATAGCCTCCAAAACAATACAGAGAAACCCTGGCTCATAAAAACCAAAAAAAAAAAAAGAAATGGGTTAATAATTAAGACAGAACTAGCCAATAAGAAGCCATAGCCACCAACCATTTTATAACTAATATAGGATCCATGTACTTATTTGGGACTGGAAATGGCAGCAGGACTAGCTGTACCAGAAAACTCATGCTTACAACTCTATCTGAATCAAGCAGCATGGGTCAGTACATCCTCACCTGGTTGACTAAAATACTTATGGTTCCTCATCAGTAAAACAAGAACTTCCAGTTAGGGACATATGAGCCCAGCCTTATGAGGTGGGCTGGAGTATATGGCTGTTGATCAGTTTGGAATGGCTAGGGGAAACTGTCATGAGCTAGAGCCCTGAGTTTTTAAAGTCTCCCAGGCAAGGGTTGCTGCTAGTAAACATTATTACAGAGTTGGGGAGGCACTAAGAAATCTTGTCCTGTCTTCAGTCCTGGGTTACAAGAAACTAAATGGACAAAAGACAATTTTACTTAAAAATAATTGGATATATTAGTAGCTTTATCTGACCTTGGTCAAGGAGTGGGGACATTCTGCTGTGCAAATTTTTAAGAAGTGATTGGCCTGAGCACTTTAAACCAGACTGGAGAGGTGACTCAATTTTTAGACACACATGCCATTCTTGCACAATACCAGGATTCAGTTTTCAGCACTCACAAAGTGGTTCACAACAAGATCCAGAGGATCTGACAGCCTCTTCTGGCCTCCAAGGGAGTCAAGCATGCACATGGTACACATACATACATATAGGCAAAACACTCAGTCACATAAAATAAAAAATTTTCTAACTTAAAAAGACATTTAAACAAAGTTGAATTAAAAGGGCAAAGGGCCAGGCACTGGTGGTGCATACCTTTAATTCCAGCACTTAGGAGGCAGAAGCAGGCAGATCTCTGTGAGTTAGAGGCCAGCCTGGTCTACAGAGTGAGTTCCAGGACAGCTTTGTGAGTGAGGGAACTATAGGGAAGGGTATAACCCATTTCCCTGAAGTACAAAGTTCAGGGAAGCAGTGAAGGCTGGACACAGGCCTCATAGCTACAAAGACTGTACAGAGGGATCTTGAGTCCATGACAGATTGTGAACTAAGCCTAGGCTTTGCTGTGGACTCTGAAGAAGAGACTAGCAGAGTCATGAGGAACCAGGACCAGAAAGAGTGGCTTTCCTCACACTTTTTGAAGGAATGGGCAAAGCCATAAACAAAGGGTCCACTGTTCCATGAAAATCAGGTACAGTATGGTAGAAATAAGCTGATATTGGGCCACAGGTCTTTTCTAGAAAGGCCACTAGGAAATTCTGTCTGCAAGGAGGCATGGCTCGCTTTTTCCTTACTGCTCACATCTCCCATGCCATAGAACTTCTTGAACAGCTGTGGGTGTTCATGCATGTCGGGAGAAACCAGTTTCATTACATTCAAGTGGGAGCTTTGTGCAAAGTCCACAGTTGAGATAGACAGCAGCATGGGCAGTGTCTGAGGGGGGGGAAGGAAAGGGGAGCCATGAAAGTCTCCAATTGCTCTCTCTTTCCCACAGGGGAATATACTTGAGAAGATGAACATTTGCTCCATGCCCTACTTTTTATGCTTTGTACAAGACAGACTTGTGTCGAAGAAGAGCCTTGGTGTGTTTGTGAAGGACCTGCATTTCGGCACAATCCCTGTGAGGCTCTTTCAGCCCAAGGCAGCCTCCTCCAAGCCCCGGCGAGGCATCATCTTCTTTCATGGAGGTGGTGCAGTGCTGGGCAACCTAGGTGAGAAACATCCCTGTAGTACAGAGAGTACAGTCCCCCACAACCATGAGCATGTCTTTGGAGGGAAGCAAAGCAAGCAGCCTTTGGAACTCCTTTGATGGGAAGCCGATTAAGACTGATGGTTACGTCAGTCAAAGGGATTGTTGCCTCCATGTCAATGTTTTCCACAATTTGATATCTCTGTTGAGGTAGGGGCAGTGATTGCCTAGTGGGACTTCCTGGGAATTAGGTGTGATGCCAACCTGCCTTCCCCTTTGTCCTACAATGGTCCCAAATCCATTCATTGCTCTGGGATCTTCTGGATCATACTAGTCCAAATCCATCTTCCCTTGCTCACCCCCTTCAGTCCTGTATCTAATAGTGGTTCCACTGCTCCATTGTCAACAGTCTGTCTGGTCCTCTCTCCATACCAAAAAGATCTTTACAAATATAATCCGGGGCTGACCACTTGGCACTGGATCACCAATTGATGTTATCTTCTCTGGGGAAGACTATTTCTCTTGATCTCAGCATTCTTTAGTTGCCTGCAGTGTTATGTGCAGGGTTGAGGCCTTGTGGATTTTCTTCAATCTAGCTTAGCATGTCCCTTGTTGTCATCCAGTACCAAATGGATAGCCTTGAAAACATACATACAAGTAGCATTATACAGACTGAGCAGGCTGTATCAGTATTTAGGAATATATGTATATACATATATGTATGTAGCAACAATTCATAGAAAAGGAGGTCAAATATTTTAAAGAGCAAGAGGGGGTATATGGAGGGTGTTGGGAGGAGAAAAGTGAACATTTTATCTAGAGATTTTCCCTGCCATTCTGAAGTCAGACCCAGGACCAATGGATCCATTCCTGATATTTTGTCACAAAGTTTACTTTGTCCATGTTTATTTTGATCCCCAATATGTTTCCTTGCTTAGTTTCTGCGTTCTCCCACATAGAATGGAGACACCAAGAGTGCAAGGGAAACTTTTGTTGTAGCTATCAGTGAATTCTCAGAGTCTAGAGAACAAGACTCAGTCCCTGCCCTCACTGGCCTGCTGGTCAAAGTAGGAGGCTGGACCTTGCAGAACCCAAATGGGAAGGTGGTGGTTTCTGATTGGACAATGTAGGCCCAGAAAAGGATCAGATTCAAAGTCGTAGCACCTCACCTTGTAGTGAACCTAGGCTCAGTTTCCAGTGAGTACATCAGGCTACTCAATGTGACTGTAACTCCAGCCCCAGGAGACCTGAAAACTTCTTCCGACCTCTACACTCCTCATGTTCACACACACCCTCCACACACATACACATAATTAAAAAAAAACTCATTTAAAAAGACTAAGGGGAGCCGGGTGGTGGCGGCGCATGCCTTTAATCCCAGCACTCGGGAGGCAGAGGCAGGCAGATATCTGTGAGTTTGAGGCTGGGCTGGACCGATAGCCTCCAAAACAATACAGAGAAACCCTGTTTCGTAAAACCAAAAAAAAAAAAAAAAGACTAAGGGGAAAAATTCCACAAAGAACAAAAAATACAGGAACTAACAGGGCTGAGTGCCTTATACAGACACAAAGTAAGAACTTATTCTAAATATTTTTAGTTTTTATTTGTTGGGAGAAGTCCTGTGTATTTGTCAATAAAGCACTGTTGGCCAATAGCAAACCAAGATAGGTGGGACTAGGAGTCCAGAAGGACTCTGGGAAGGAGAAACAAAAAGTCAAGATGTAACACCATGGGGTAGGAGGCCTGGAACTATTCTCCGGTAAGAGAAATACTTAGATTAACAATTATGGGGTAATTACTTAAGTCAGAGCTACCCAGTAAGCAACAAGCAAGGCCAACAGCTTCATAATTAATATAGCCTCCTGTGTGTTTATTTGGGACTGATGCGGCTCTGGAACCAGGCTGGCAGGAAGGCTTCTCTCAAGGAAAAAGCTTCACTTTACATTTATTTAATTTTATTAGATTGCATAAGGCCATTTTTAATGCAACTATATAATATACTTTGAGTATACCACTATTTTCTGCCTTCTCACCCCTCTCATTAGTCTCATTTGCTCCCTAGACAATTTTAATTCTGATTTAATTTTTAATTTTACATATACAAATCTGTATAAAATCTGGAACCCACAAATGAAATACAATGCCTTTCTGAGACTGACTTAATTCACTTACTTAATGTATCTCCAGTTTCCCTGCAATCAATATAACTTCAAATCCACTGTGTATATATAGCTTATTTTCCTTATTCATTCCTCTGCTATTGGACACCCAGGATGGCTTCATGGCTTGGGTATTGTACATAATGCTGCGGTCAACACTGATGTGCAAGTATCTCTGCTAAATACCCAGGAGTGGTACAAAAGTTTCCATTGTAACCAGATTGGTTTACATTCCCACCAACTGTGTGTGAGGGTCCCTTATCTGCATGCATCCTCTCTGGCATTTGTTGTCATTCTTTCCCCCTCTCCTCCTTCCTGCCTGCCCTCCTTTCTTCCTTTATATTTTGAGACAAGGTTTCACTATGTAACCCTGCCTGTCCTGGATTTCACTATGGGAATCAGGCTGGCCTTGAACTCACAGACATTCACCTGCTTCTGCCTGAGCTGAGTGCTCGGTTTAAATGCACGCACTACCATACCCAGTTTGATGTTTATTGTCTTAATGATGGACATTCTGACTGAGATGAGAAGAACTTTCAGTGAAGTCTGGATTTGCGTTCCTCTGATGTCTAGTGAGGTTGGATTCCCCCCCCGTGCTTATTAGCCATTTGTATTCCATCTTGTGAACTGTCTGTTTCATTAGCCCATATATTGACTGGATTGTTTGATTTCTTATTCAGTTCTTTTGACTTCTTTGTATATTCTAAATAGCAGTTGCCCAGTCAAAGGGCAGTTGGGAAAGATCTCTTCCTATTCTGTAGACTGCCGCTACGCTTGTCTCCTTCACTGTGCATAAAGCTTTGTAATTTCATGAAATACCATTTGTCAATTGTTGACATTGTTTCCTGAGAACCCAGACCCTGTTCCAGAAGTCCTTGACTGTGTGGATATTTTAAAGAGGTCCCTGACTTTTTTTTTCTCCGTGAGTTGTAAATGAGGCAGGGGCAAGCAGAGGAGGGGAAGATGTAAGCTATTTCCACCGACCTCACCAGAGACACCTGGTACAAAGAAACATAATTCTGAAAGTTTGCTCATCGTGGAGTATGTTGATTTTGTAAAATATTACATCAGATGTTGCTTATCTGGCCCCATTATTTAGCAGCCACAGTGATGTCTCATCTATCTCACTCTTGTCCTAATAAGTCTTTAGAAGGGCAAAGTAACATGTGCAAAACTCTGAAACAGGAATTGCTTGAAGGATTTGAAGAGAAAGATGTCTAGGAGGGTCCTAGAGTTCAGGACAGTGTTAGCAAAGTCTCCATATTGTCTCTGCAAACCCTTCTTGAAACTTTTAAGGGCACTCACAGACCCTCACCCTAGTCTGACTCGGTTCCCCTCTTAAGTGGATCCAGCCATCCCTACATTAAAAGTCCTCGGGTAAAGGTAATGTGCAGTGTTCAGAACTTATGGGGTAGGGCCATTGGCCTAGAAGCTGACTAGACAGTTCAGATCAGACCCCCAGGAGTGTTGCCCTCCAAGTCTGCTTTCATCCTGTGCCCAACAATGTAGCTTATATGTACCTGCCTAGTAGGCACCCATAAATATTAGAATTATCTGATGTCATTAAGAGATCCATGGTGCCTTCTTGGCACAGCTCAAAGATTGTAGTCCAATGAGTTGTGGCAGCCTGGACATAAGATGAACACAGACTGATAAGGTTCCTTGTCTACCAAGAGAATGGGCTAAGTCAAAGGAAGTTCTGTTCCAGATCTGGGTAAAGATTTGATACATACTCATGCCAGTGGACCTGCCTCTGAGAACTTCAAATGTACCGCCATACTAATTCAAATTGTCCATCTATTCATCATTTGTTTCCTAATCAAATAAATGCATGATTCTTTTTTGAATGTTTTTTTTCTCTGTTCCACTAGTCCTCTGGACCAGTTTCTCTCCTGCTCATCGGACCCTGCAGTCACGTATGAAATAGCACTCCTAGGCTTAATATCTATTGTAATTTGTTTTCCCAGTGGCTCAGACACACTACTGGCTCACTTTCTCTTATAAACAACCCATTTCTGTTAATCTGTGCATCGCTGCAAGGCTGTGGCCTACTGGTGATGCTCCAGCACATCACTCCTTCAGCAGTTACATGGCACCTCCCTGACTCCACCTACTTTTTCTCTGTATCTGTGTTTGGATTTCTGCCTAGCCATATTCTCCCCAGTCATTGGCCAAATCAGCTTTATTTATCAACCAATAAAAGCAACATATATTTGTAGCATATAGAAGGACAACCCACAGCAGGCAGGGTCTTGTAGCCTGTCTTCCAATTTGCAGTGTAGTTGAGATTGACTTGAATTCTTGATGATCCCGACTCTACACGCCAAGAACGGAGATCACAAGCATGTGCCAACACACTCAGCTCAATATATGAAATTCTTAATAGTCCCAAGCTATTCCTCCAAAAGTGCCTTACCCTTGCCTTTGCTCATTTGGATCCTCAAAGTTTACTGGTCTTCGGTTTCCTCCACTGTAACATTAAACTATGCATAAGGTGAGCCCCAAAGTTCACTTATGCCCCCCAACATTCAAGAAATTAAGGCAGATGCATGACTTTGCTTTGGCATGGTGTCCTGAGTTACTGCAGAGGAGGCAAGTCTAGGAAGAGAGGTGTCATTCCTATGGTCCCTACACCAGCTGCTCCCTTGGGGCTGTGATGAGGAGTACTGGGACCTCATCATACAGTACACCATGCTTGGTATTCTCTTGCAGATTCTTACCATAACCTGTGCACCTTCCTGGCCCGAGAGTCAGACTCAGTGTTGCTGTCAGTGGGGTGAGTAGTCTCAAAAGGTATGTGACTTATCCACAGAGCAGGGGGGCATACAAGGACGGGGAGTCTTAGATGTCTGTGTCCCTAGAGAATCTCCCACATATGACTATAGCATAATACAAATGAGAAAAGGTCTGGAAAGCCACTCATCACTGGGGATTGAGTGGAAGAGCCGTGGTGAAAATAAATTGCTCTTATTCCCTTTTTCATGTTATTGCAAATACCAAAGATATAAGTTAAAGGGTGAAGAGTTCATTTTGACTCCAAGTTCTAGAAACTTCATTCAGTCTATGGCACACTTGCTCTACTGCTATTCTCTAAGGTAGAATATTCTCAGAGCAAGAGAGCATAATACAGCAAATGTGCTCACCCTGTGGCAGCAGGGACCAGAGACAAGGTACCATTCAAAGGCACACCACAGAGAGCTATGTCTTACAATTAGGCCCAAATTCCAATAATGCCACAGAATTATAAATCTATGAATGAACTATCCCATCAATGATGTCAGTATTCCACAGTGTAGCTAATATCTCAATGATGTGATCCATATCCAGGGAATAAGTTGCCAACCTAAACTTTTTGAGGAATACTTTATATATCTACCCAATAGCACCCCACCCTAAACATCCAAGGGTCATTGTCAACTCATCATGTAGAATCCATCTAATGCAAGAGTCCCCAAAGTTTAATAGAGGTTCAAGTCTAAAGTCTTCTGAACATTGGCCCAATTCTCAGCTGTGAATTTTCACACAATTAACAGCAAATTGCATTCTTCCAGCATACAATGGCACTGGGCAAGCATCTTCATACACAAAAGGAAAAATTGCTGTTGTGTAGGGAAAAAACTAAAACACAGCAGAGCAAACATTAAGTCTTATAGTTCCATGCTCTTACCTGGTACATTGTGGTACCAGGTACCACATTCATGGCCCAAGGCTTTGAGCAGTCATACTTCTATATTCCTGCTGGCTGAAATCTGCTTGCTCCCCCCTAAGAGAGGTTCTTTATCCATGGTGTTATTCAGCATATTGTCCAAATTCATGCCCTCTCCTATTTGCTCAGGTTTCCATTGGAACTTAGCCCTCACCTCACAGGTTTGCATATTTCTTCTCATGGACAAGGTTCTCACACTTTACTTGGCCTCCTAGGCTTACCTTTGAACCTGGGTAGAAGCTTTAGCAACCCAGTGACTACATTTCACATGCTTACACGTCCAGCGTTGTGTGGATGATGCCTAGGGTGCCACTAGCCACAACACTAGCTGGGCTCCCTTAGAACATGGCCACATTGGACTTTGAGTGACTGAGAAACTAACCACGGGAAATGAGCCCTGGGAGGACAATTTTCTACATGGACCAGTGCAAGCTGGGTACCTTGCCAGCACTATATTCTCAGGCAAAAGTCTTTCCAACGAGTGTATAATTTTATCGTGTAGTCTGCCATGGGTGAGATCATTCTAATGTCTAAGAAACCCTGCAGGACTCTTTCCTTCTGTCCCAGTACAAGGCATATTATTTATTTGTTTTTATTTATTTCAAGATTTCAGTGTGTGTATGTGTGTATGTGCGTGTGCACGTGTATTTGTGAGTACATGCACATATGTGATTGTGGGTGTGCAAAGAGGCCAGAGGCCAGGAGAGGCCATCAGATCCCTTGGGCTATAGGCATCTGCAGGACACCCACTGGGAAATGAACTCTGATTAATAAGCACTCTTACCCACTAAGCTACCTCTATAGCTCTTTGATTTGTTTTTTAAATGTGCTAAACTCTTTTACAACCTCATCCTCTATGTCTACAACTTTTCTGCCAAACTACCATTTTATTTATGTTATATTTTTCACTCTTAGTTTTCACTGGCTAAGAGGGCTGGCAAGATGTCCCAGTAGGTAAAAGTGTTTACTTCCCAACCAGTGCCAGTTCTGATAACTACTGGAAAATGAAACCAAATTACAAATCCACCAGTAATTGAACCATTAATAATGCTAGAAGCTTCATGGTATGATAATATCTCAATAACTAGATCAACTACCTGGGCACTAAGATTTAAACAAAGAAGTCTTTTAAGTGATCATCTGAACCATGTGATATTAGGGAATATTGCATAACCACTTAGAACCATGAGGGTATGCCAAGGTAAGGGAATCATAGCAGGGTAAAATTATGAAAAATATATTCAAAAGTTAACAGCTGAGGCTGGAGATATGGCTCAGTGGTTAACAGCACTGGGTACTCTTCCAGAAGACCTGGATTCAAATTCCAGCACCCACATGGCTGCTCACACCTGTCTGTAACTCCAGTTTCAGAAGATGTGACACCTTCATAACAACATGTATAAAATAAAGTTAAGTAAAAATTTTAAAGGTAACAGTTTAATAACATCTATGTGAAGTCAAAAGAATTAAAATCAAGAGATTGTATTCTAGGGGCTGGACATGGAGCAGTGGTTAAGAGCATGTACCACTCTTGCAGAAGATCACAACTCAGTTCCTAACATTCACAAGTGCCTGTATTCCAGTTCTAGAGGATCCAATTTCCCTCATCTGTCTCCCTCACATACTGTAATCATGTATGTGAGAGCACATGTGCATACAAACACAATTAAAAATAAAATAAAAGAGTGAATGTCTTTGAAATAAACATACTCAAAGACAGGATATAAATGGGAAAAACTAATGTGACACATCCATTAGAGCCTTCTCTCAGTGGAGGCATGGAGGATGATTGGACAGCAGTAAAGGGTGACTGGAAAGTACAATGAAGGGCCCAGTCATTGCTGGATGACAGTTCTGCAAGTACCTGTGTCCCACTGTGAGATAGCTACTATCCTAGTTTACTTTCTGTCTCTGTGACCAAACGCTCTGACCCAAAGCAGCTTAACCTATTGTTGTTCTGTCTTCTGAACTATCATTACAGTTTGTTCTATCTTCATATTTTTGTTTGTGAACCTAGTCTTTAATGACTGAGCCATCTTCACAGTCATTGTTCTATCTTCAAAGTCAATAGTTTCCAACTTGCATGATGTTTCAACTACATCTAATCAAAACATAGGTTTGAACAAAGAATTCCAATGACTCTGACGTTTGGTAGCTTCTTCAAACTCACATAGGGGAAAAAAGGGATGGCCTTCTTCAATTGCTAGGGTCATGAGGAAGATAAAATCAAGTAGACTCAGGTAAGTAGAAGATGCAATTCAAAAAACCTCCAGACATTCCTGCACACACTCATGAGCTGTTTTCTGTCTTCCTTTTGTAGGTACCGAAAGCTTCCTTACCACACTCATCCTCACCTTTTTTATGATTGTGTCAATGCCTCCATCCACTTCCTGAAGTCTCTGAATGCCTATGGGGTGGACCCCTCCAGGCTTGTCATCTGTGGAGAGAGCATTGGAGCTGCAGCTGCAGCTGCTGTCACCCAGACTTTGGTGGGCAGAGCAGACCTTCCCAAGATCCGGGCTCAGGTCCTGGTTTACCCAGTCCTCCAGACATTTTATTTCCAGCTCCCATCACATCTGCAGAATGCAAATGTTCCATTCCTCACTAAAGATTTCATGATGACATGTATTTGTAAATATCTGAACATTGATCCCTCCTGGAAAGAAGCCATGTTGACAGGTGCCTGTATGCCCCCAAGTGCCTGGAGGAAGTATGAGAAATGGCTAAGCCCTGATAACATCCCTAAAATGTTCAGGAGTGAATACCAGCAACCCCAGTCACCTGCTCCTTTCAATGAGGCCGCCTATCTGGAAACCAAACATACTATGAATGCAGATATTTCTCCCCTCCTAGCAGATGACAAGATCATTGCTCAGGTTCCTGAGGCATTCCTGGTGACCCTTCAGTGGGACATCATCCGTGATGATGGCTTGCTCTACAAGAAGCGCTTGGAAAACCAGGGTGTTCCTGTGACCTGGTACCATGTAGCAGATGGCTTTCATGGGTGCTTCATTTTATTTGATAAGAAGTTTTTCTCTTTCCCCTGTTCCTTGAGCATTGTAAATGCTATAGTCAGTTATATAAAAGGCTTATGAATGACTGCAGCATGATGGGAGAACAATTGCCTAGCATGCACGAGACCCCACTCTGAGCCACAGCAGGGAAGGCAGGGAAGGAAGGTGAAAAATACAAATAAAGAAACAAGAGACATCAGTCCTGGTACCTTGAATGAGAAGGGCCAAGAAGGGTTTTGTCACACCTGAGGCTAGGGCTGAGTCTTATTTTTTTTAACCCTTTCTTTTATTCTTTTAATGTATAAAAGAGTGAATTTTGTTACATTTCACACAAGCATATTCTAGAACTTACTTTTATTTGGTATACATACCATGTCTTGTTCCCCACTCCAAATCTCCTAAGTTGACCCCCATATCCCCTCCTATTTTGAAGCCATATACATATGGTATGTATGGTGTGTGCATGCGCGCACGTGTGTGTATTTTTATTATGTAGACCTGACTGCCCTATAATTTGCTATGTAGACCAGGCTGACCTCAAACTTACAGACTTCTTTCTGTCTCCCCTTCAGGTGTGTGTCATTCATTTCCTAATGGTTCTGACCAGGGTGTGCTACAATCTCAATGTAATTTTGATTTGTACTTTCCTGACGACCAAAAATGTTAATTTGTTTTCAAATACTTATTGGACATTTATACTCTTAAAATAAAGATTGTTTAATTCATCTCATTTATTGATCAAATGATTTGGATTTTGGCAATTAATCTTTGAGTTTTCTATGTATTCTTTATTTTAATCCCCTGTTGCATACATGGTGGAGAAAGATTGTCTCTCCTTGTGCACACTGCCTATTGAAGCTGTTGATTTCTTCTTGTGCTGTGTGAAGCTTTTCAGCTTTGTGTGATAATATTTGACAGTGTTTCTGTAGTTTCCCCGGGGGTATTGGAGTCCTTCTCAAGGGCCATGGATGTGCCTGTATCTTGTGCTATTGCTACGTTTGTGCAAGCAGTTTTGAGGCTATAGATCTCTCGCCCAGACCGAAGCGATATTTCTTTAGGAGTCATGGGGATCCAATTTCCTTCTTAAGCATGTGGCTATCCAGTTTCTCCACTTCCATTCACTGAAATGGCTAAGAGTTTCTGCACCTTATGGAAAACCAGGTGAGTTGATTTGGGGGTTCTCTATTGTGTTTTTTATTTGTTTGTTTACTTGGTTTCCTCGGATGAGGTTTCGCTGTGCAGCCCTCACTGGCCTGTAACTTACAGTGACCTCAAACTCTCAGCAGTTCTCCTGCTTCAGCTCCCCAGTACTTAGATTGCAGGCCTGCACCTCTGCACTCAGCTTGGTTCTTCAAGTAGAGATGATTTAACGTCTTTCCAGTTTATCTTTCTTTTTTGTTCCTCTCGCCTTAGTGTTCTCACGAGGACTTTAAGCAGCACATTGAACATAATAGAAGGGGTGAGCTTGCTTCTAACATTCCTGATCAGAAAAGAAATTGTTCAATCTTTCCCCATTTAGGGTAATTCTAGCTGTAATTTTGTCCTATGTAGACTTAATTATGTTGAAGCATATTCTTTGTATTAATAATTTCTTTATGAATTTCATCATGAATGAATGGTAGACTTTGTCAAAGGTATTCTTTGAATATATTGAGGTGATCATGTGGTTTCTGCCCTGACTCTATTTTTAATATATTTCTGGAAAATTTATACTTTTTAAAATTTCATTTATTTATTTTTTACATTCCAATCCCAGTTCCTCCTCCCTCCTCTCCTCCAGATCCCCCCACTCACCCCTCCACTTCCCATCTCCTTCTCAGAGAGGGTAAGGCCTCCCATAGGAAGTCTACTAAGTCTGTCCCATCATCTCGTTGAGGCAGGACCAAGGCACCTCTCCATCCTCCACACCCCTGTATCCAGGCTGAGCAAGGTACCTCTCCATATAGAATGGGCTCCACTAAGTCAGTTTGTGCATTAGAGTTAGATCTTGGACCCACAGCCAGTGGCCTCATATATTGTCCCAGTCACACCACTGTCACCTTTATTAAGGAGTCTAGTTCGGTCTTATTCAGGTTCCCCACTTGTCAGACCTGAGTCAGTGATCTCTCACTAGCTTGAGTCAGCTGATTCTGTGGGTTTCCCCATCATAGCCTTAACTCCTGAAATATTTATTCTTTTTTTTTTGACCTATGCCCTGAAGCATTTATTAATGGAAGTACTTTCCTGGGAAACACATATTTAATCTTTTAAAATTTTTTTATTTTTAAATTTAAATTAGAAACAAGGTTGCTTCACATGTCAATTCCAGGTCCTACCTTTCTCTCCCCTCCTCCCACGCCCTCCCACCAACCCCCCCAATATCCCCTCATTTCCCCAGGGAGGGTGAGGCCCACCATGGGGGTGTCCATAGTCTGTCATTTCATCCAGGGCAGGGCCTAGACTCTCCCCCAAGAGTCCAGGGTGAGAGTGCATTTCTCATTGTTAGATGGGAGCCCAAAGTCCATTTGTATACCTGGGATAAACACTGATCTACTACCCAAAGCTAAATAGATAACCTAGGCCTCCTCACTGACACCCCCATTCAGGGGCTCTTGATCAATCCCATGCTGGATTCCCAGGCATCAGTCGGGGATTCCTGAGCTAATCCTTGTCAGGTCAGCTGTTTCTGGGGGTTAAACCAGCCCAATCTTAACCCCTTTGGTGATCAGTCCTCCCTCTCAGTCACTGGATTCCTTGAGTTCAGCTCAATATTTAGCCATGGGAGCCTGCCTCTGCTTTCATCAGCCACTGAATGAAGGTTCTGTTTCCCAGACTCTCTGGCCATGGGATTGTAGGCTGGCACGCTCTGGATCTATGTCAAAAATCCATATATGAGAGAGTATATGCCATGTTTCTCTTTTTGTGACTGTGTTACCTCACTCAGGATGGTTTCTTCTAGTGGCATCCATTTGCCTGAAAATTTCAGGATTCCATTGTTTTTTTTTCTGCTGAATAGTACTCCATTGTGTAGATGTACCACATTTTCTCTATCTACTCTTCAGTTGTGGGGATTCTAGGTTGCTTCCAAGTTCTGGCCATTAAAAATAATGCTGTTATGAACATAGTGGAACAGACATCCTTGTTGTAAAATGGGCATCTTTTGCATATATGCCTAAGAGTGGAGTTGCTGGGTCTTGTGGTAGGTTTATTCCCATTTTTCTGAGGAATCTTCATACAGATTTCCAAAGTGGCTGAACAAGTTGGCACTCCCACCAGCAATGGAGGAGTGTTCCCCTTTTACCACATCCTCTCCAGCATAAATTGTCGTTGGTGTGTTTTATTTTAGCCATTCTGAGAGGAGTGTGATGGTATCTCAGAGTTGTTTTGATTTGCATTTCCCTGATGGCTAAGGATGTTGAGCACTTTCTCAAGTGTCTGTCAGACATTTTAGACTCCTCTATTGAGAATTCTCTATTTAGTTCTGTAGCCCACTTTTTAATTGGATCCTTTGGTGTTTTGGAGACTTGCTTCTTGAGTTCTTTGTAAATTTTGGAGATCAGCCCTCTGTCAGATGTGGGGTTAGTTAATATTTTTTCCCATCCTGTGGGCTGCCTTTTTGTCTTGCTGACTGTGTCCTTTTCTTCTATGATTTTGTTGAATATGTTTTCTGCCCCTTTGAGGTGGTTTTCTTCACCTTCTTCTATACCTATTATTCTTTTTTTATATATATATTTTATTTTCCAGTTTAAATTTAGATAAGAAATGAGGTTGCTTCACAAGTCAGTTCCAGGTCCCTCTCCCATTCCCTCCCCTACTCCCGTGCCCTCCCCCCAACCCCCCCCCGTTATCCCCTCATTCCCCCAGGGAGGGTGAGGCCCTCCATGGGGGTGTCCATAGTCTGTCATTTCATATAGGGCAGGGCCTAGACCCTTCCCCAAGAGTTCAGGGTGAGAGTGCACCTCCCATTGTTCTATTATTCTTAGGTTTGGTCTTTTCATGGTGTCCCATATTTCCTGGATGTTTTGTGTTAGGGATTTGTTGGACTTAAGATTTTCTTTGGTTGATGAATCAATTTCTCCTAGTGTATCTTCGACACCTGAGATTTTTCTCTTCCATCTCTTGTATTCTGTTGGTTATGCTTGTATCTGTAGTACCTGACCATTTGCCCAGCTTTTCTATTTCCAGCCTTCCTTCACATTGTGTTTTTTTATTGTCTCTATCTCAGTTTTCAACCCTTGCACTGTTTGCATTGTTTCTTGCAATTTTTGCTTTGTCTTTTCATCCATTTGTTGCATTTTATGAACTTTTTTATTTGTTTTTTCTTCCATTTCTTGCATTTTTTGTTTTGTTTTTTTTCTTCCATTTCTTGCATTTTTTGGTTTGCTTTTTCTTCCATTTCTTGCATTTTTTTGGTTTGGTTTTTCTTCCATTTCTTTGTGGGATTTTCCTATATACTCTTTTAGGGGTCTATCATGTTCATGAAGTTGTTTTTAAGGTCATTCTCTTCTGCTTCATTTGCATTGGAATGTTAGAGTCTTGCCTTTGTGGAGTCTCTAGAATCTGGCAGTGTCATATTTGATTTTCTGTTGCTGAGTGTTTTTGTATTGTCTCTTTCCTATCTCTTCTTCTAGTGGGTACAGAAAGTGCCCCTTACTGGTCTGGTGGTTAGGGGACCAGAGTTCCCTTTCAGTGGGTGCAAGCAAGTCCAATACTCTGGTTGTTCTTCTATTCCTCATCCTAATTCTGGTCCTATGGGTGGAGAAGAAGCCCAGGAATCTGGGGTGCATAGTCTCCCACCTGGTCCCCTGGTCCCTTTGGTGGAAGAGAAGACCTGGGATCTGGGGTGTGTGGCTCCTGCCTGGATGGGAAGCTTTGTGGCTGTCCACAGGCAATTTCCAAGCACTGGAATGCAGGCCTGGATGCAGTACCTGTTTTACCTGGTCCAGCAGGACCCGCTGGTTCCCTGGTCTCATTGGTGGAAGAGAAGACCTGGGATCTGGGGGCTTGGCTCCCGCCAGGATGGGACGTTCTGTGGGAGTCCCCAGGCACTGGGAGGCACATGGGGCCTTGTTTACCTGGATCTGCTGGTTTCCTGGTCTCCAAAATATTTATTCTTAATGTGCCAGGATCCCTAAATCTGATTATGCACTGTGCTGCAATTATGGATTGCCCTGTGTTTAGCCATCTTTGCACTCCTGGAATGAAACCAATTTGATCATCCCATACATTTTTTTTCATAAATCTCAATTTCCTTGCTGAAGTTCTCAGGCACAGGGCTGAAATGCTCAGGGATATTGCCAACATCCTTGTCTAGACATTTGATTCACTTCCTCATTCTATCTGCTAGTTGTTTATGTCATGGTTGATGTCATTGATCTTTTCTTTTGAGACAGTTTCTTCGTGTAGCCTTGGCTGTCCTGGAACCCCCTCTGTAGACCGCCCTGGCCTGGAACTCACAGAGATCCACCTACCTCTGCCTCTCAAGTGCTGAAAAGCTTAAAGTACATGCCCCCACTGACCTGTGGTTAATCTTTCTTTCACTTGGACTTTTAATTACTTCTCTGGCACTGCAATCGTTTATGCACCTTTGGAATGACTTCTTGGGAAATTGCTGTGCTGTGAGCAGTCATGTTGCCACTTGCTGATGTCTCTCGTTTCTTTGTTGCAACTTCTTTTCAGTCTCTAGGAGTGGCTACATCTTTTGGTCTGGTCTGATCAGCAGCCCTCTCTTGAGGACTCAGTCCCCAGTCC